GCTGATTGACCTCATGGTTGAGTCGGATGGGAACAAGGACGGTTAGCGGTTTACTTTGTTGAAGGCACATGTTGCATTTTGCTGGATGCAGGACGTGTTCCAACAGAAGCTGGATGCCTTCAAGGAGTCTGAGACGTACTCCAATCTAGAAACCCAAGGTGGCTACTATTCTTTTGCGGACATGAGGAAGGCTGTGTCGGAAGGAGGTTTGGGATTTTCTGAGTCTATTGTCTGCATTTTTGGGGAGGACAAGGGGAGTGACAGTGAAGGCATCAGTGCTTGTAACCTAGTTTGCATACTTAAGGAAGAAGGCGAGGAAGGTTTGCGCAAAGGCAGAGGAGAAAGGACTTACCCAGTGCCTCGGCCACCCCAGAACTCCTTATAGATTCCCCTGTTTTTTGCCCCAAGGACGAATGAGTATGATGACGATGAGAAGGTGTATTGGTGCAATTTTCGTACAATGGGTAAAAGCGGTCAGCATCGACGGGAGGGTATCAAAGAACTGAAGTCAGCACAAGGTGTTTGTGATGATCTGGCACTTGCTCCCGGCCCAGATCATCTTGACCTGGCCAGAGCTCATGCGCGGGCAGCTCTCGGCAACACATGCATGGAGGAAAAGGGTCAGAAGGCCGGTTTTGTTGGGATTGGAGGTGGGCTGGGAGAGATGATTTTTCACCAAATTTATGTTGTGGGATCGTGTTTTTCGTACGTTTTTGTGCTAGGGAGGTGAAGTCTTGGCGAACTACATGGCGGAGTGTGTGTCCACCAAAGATTATCTCAGCAAGTTTGTAGCAAAGCTGGACTCATCAGACCCTTCAATTGCACTGTCAGTTCCCCAGATTCATGTGTGCTACAGTTCAATGTATATAGATTTAGAGTTTTTCGAGTTTTGGCGGGCTCAGGGAGATCAAGAAAATGGAGAAGGTGATTAGCGAGTTGAATAGCCAGTACGACATTTTGGCTGGCTATCAAGCAGATCAAAGGGTTCATGGAGTTTCCGCTGAGTTGCTTGTCCAAACGTATGCAGTATTGTGCGTCATGCCGTTCAGTCGCCTTTCACCATCCTGTCTTTGATTGGGTCGCATCCGAGGCTCAGCAAGAAATTGGAAGCAGAATATGCTGCCGTGAAGCGATCGTGCCTAAACGTATATTTTAAAAGTCTGACAGGGTAACGTTCAACTTCAATGCGAAGGTTCCAGCTTTTCCTTTTTAGATCTACAACCTTGGCTAGGTGCGTCTTGGCCATGTCGTTCAAGCAGAAGAACAGGTGCTTCTAGTTTGGACTGTTATCCTATGTTTCCATCTGTATCTTCACTTGTATTGGCAAAATCGATTGCTTGATGCAGGAAGGCCAAGAAGTGCAAGCGCGAAGCTGATGCCAGTGAGCGTAAGGTAAAGCAGCCAAAAACATCCAAACCATCCAGACCTCAGAAAAGAAAGTCACCTGAGCCTGAGCATGAAGCTGAGCCAAAGGCTGAGGCTTCTGCATCTTCTGCTGGTAAAGGGCGGAGGTCAGTGGTGGAGAAAGCTGCTGAAGTGGCCAAAGGCCGCGCAAATGCAAAATCTAAGGCCAAGAGCAAGAGCAAGTAGGGGTTAATTTTCACCACGAGATGTGGTGTAGGCATCAAAGACAAGTTGCAGCCTTAGGTGTCCACACACGGAGTGGGGAGTGTGGCACATGGCTCCATGGCACTTGCAAGAAAAACAGAGTGATTTCTCACGCGCATCTTCTTGTAGCGTGTTTCGGCTGTTTCTGTCTGGTGCAACCTATCTTCCTTACAAGTGATCCTGAGACTCGATCTGTTCAGGTGAGCACTTTTGTGATTTTTGCATTGCGCTACTTCCATGCCAGGCATTCAGGACCTTACCATGAAGGCCCGGCAGATTGCGAAGAAATACGGAATGGGGGCCTGCGCCCTAGGTTCTTCTTATTGCTATATGTTTTCTCCTCTTTTTGGGAACCAGTTCAGTGTCAAGGTTCCTGCGAAGCAGCTGGTCCAAGACGCAGTGGCTTCCGAGATAGATAGGGATGTACTTTGCAATGTGCTTTATGGTTGTGCAAGGGGAAGGGAAAGAGATGCAGAGCGGAAGGTCTTTTCCGTATTGAAGAAAAACGGGTTGAGCCTCCCTACAACTATTTCTGAAGTTGAGATTGGGGAAGGTGATCTACTTGCACACTTTCCGTGTATCCGCCCAGCTGACTTGATCACAGCTATGCGAGACATTGGTCACCTAGACAAGGTTGCAGGTTTGCCGATGGACACATGTTCCTCACAGATGATCAATGAGCAAAGAGTTTACAGTAATTTGTTTTTTTCAATATAGTTTTGGGGTCAGCGGAGGGCAGATCCAGTAAAACCATGCGCAGCTTCTGACATGAGGTGAAACTGAGCTGGCATCCTTTTGGCAGTCTTTCGAGAAGCTCCATCCATCACACAGTGTCTTTAGAGATGCTCGTGATGGCAGGACATGCTTGAGACACTTGGTGCCTGTCAACCTGCACGGTGACGGAGGTAGGACTTACAGCAAAAAGGAACTTCTCATTCTCCAATTTGAACCTGTTTTCGGACGAGGTACTTCAAAGCAACCTGACAGCACTTCTACAGGTGGTGCAAATTACCTTGGCCACTCCATGGAAAGCCGCTTTTGCTTTGCAGTTGTTCGCTGGCGTGTTTACAAGGATGATTGGAGCCCAGTCACTAGACTTCTAGAGCATTGGTCAAAGTTCTGGGCAGATTTGTACAACACCGGCATAGACTGCGATGGGACGACCTTCAAGTTCATTCCTATCGGGTTAAAGGGAGACTTACCCTGGATCTCCAAAGCTGCATCCTTAAACCGAACATTTGGCAATATTCGCAAGCGGGCGCCCAATGAGAAGTCTAAGGGCCTCGTTGGTTGCTGTTGGTTGTGTCATGCGGGACAACCTGGATTGCCGTTTGAGGATTTGCGATTGGATCCCACATGGTCCAAAACTGAGTTTGAGAACAATGAGGCTCCGTGGGATGAATGCCCAAGTATCCTCAAGTTCATTCCCTGTGAGGAAGACGTGTTTTTGCCCCAGTTTTTCCGCATGGATTTGTTCCATATTTTGCAGATGGGAGTGTACAAGGACTTTGCTGGTTCGTCTATGGTGTTGATCCTACCCCTCTTCAGTGAAGGTTCTTTTGAACGCAATTTGGCAGCCATGAATGCAGAGCTGGCCAACTTTTGCAAGGCCAATAAACTGCACTTGGACTGCAAAGGGCTGAAAACATCTGTGATAGGTTGGAACGGTCCAAAAGAATACACACAAGGTGGGTGGAACAAAGGCTGCGATTCAGTTGTCTTTATGAAATTTGTACAGTTCTTGCTGGAAGAAACATTCCACGAGGAAAGTGGTGAGAAACCATTTTCGCTCATTTTGATGGGTGTGAGGGCGATGCATGACTGCATGCATGTGCTGTATTCCGAAGGTGTGTTCATGCCCGTAGCCTCAGCTGAGAAAGCCTGCAAAGCAGGATATGTTTTTCTGACTTCATACAGCAAGCTGGCATCTTGGAGCCTCTCAGAAAAGAAACTCCATTTCAACATGGTCCCCAAAATTCACTATTTCCACCATGTTGTTCGTGCTATGCACCTTGGTGCGCTCAGAGGAGGAGATGTAAAAATCTACAACCCTATTGTTGATGGAACGGCTTTATGTGAAGACTTTGTTGGTCATGTCTCACGCTTGTCGCGTCGAGCTTCACCCAAATTAATTCACGTCCGAACACTCCAAAGATATACTGTGGCATCCTACGTGAAGTTGCAAAAGCTGTGAGACGACTGGACCTGTGAAAGCTGTTTTGGATACCTCTGCCTGTTAAAGCTGCCGTGTCACCCTGTGGATGCCCAGTACCATATGTTGAAGCAGTGCAGCTTATGGGGTGAAATGAGCTGCAAAAAGAAACGGTTTGGAGTCAGTCAAGTGATGCTTTATGGAGATGTTTGGGTGGAGGTGTGGAGATTTGGCAATGAAACACCATGGCTCTGAAACCAAACGACCGTAATTTTCAGAAACGACTATAATTTTCCGTAAACATGTGAGAAAAGCAGCTTTTTACGTAACATCTGGAAAAAAACCGCTGAGGGCGGCTGTAGGTGTGCACTTAAACAACAAAATCTATCTGTTGTACATACCAGCCTTTTTCCGGCGGAAGAACTCGACCCCGTGAAGAACTCGAACTCGACCCGAATGGGTGAAGCCTCCGGACCGACAGCTTGGGCACCTTTGGACCGAAGAAACATGTTCAAGAGTGGTGACCTCAAAGAAAATGCATGTTCGCCACATGTCGTTGCTTCGGATCGGAGGTCATGGGAGGTCCAGGTACCGAACGCCCTTTGAAAGGGCGATTTCCGAGCGAAACGAGCAGTTCGACTCACCACGCGACCGGGTCGACCGGGTCGAACACCGGGTCGACCGGGTCGCGACCGGCGGAATTGACCATAGGTGCCATCAATTGCCATCAATCAAGGCCCGGCATCAAGCAATCCCAAGTAGACTACGTGTTGGAATATCAAGGCGTCTCTTGCTTCCATGTTTCAGAACCTTTTGAAAGCTGAGAACTCGGAGCTTCTCAAAAAGTACCAACGTCCGTTTTTCAGCAGCCTGACTGAAAAGACAGAACTGTAGTTGCCCCCCAAACCAAAAAACAAACTCAGGTGATGAGGGTTTGGATGAGTTCTCTTTATCCTGGGGATCGGTGGGGGCTATGTTGGCTCAGTCGAGTTCGATAATCCCAAAGTGTGCGCTCTAGATGCTTTCTTTCTGGTGAAAGTAGTGAGGTCGTCCCTGCAAGAGCGAGCTAAGGCTAAAATGAAGCCCTTAAAACATATTTGGTTAGCTATGATATGCTATGATCCTAGGAAGGTGCCGCCTCCAGACTGGATCTCTGAGCAGTTAGTACTTTCTACTGAGGCCCCTCCTGTGCATCACAGATGTGTCTTCCAGTGCCCCACACATGTGCAAAGCGAGCGGCTGAAAAGCTCGGGCCGTGCACTTTGCAATTTAGGCATGACGGAGGCAAAGTCCTTCTCCAACCTCGTGTGGAAGACTGAGGGTGGTGAAAAACGGTACCCTCAGGTAGGCTTACCAAGGCTTACTGACTCCTGCGCAGTCGCTAATGTGGAACAAATTGCCTCTTGCCGCGTGTCTGACTGATGAGTCTTGGTCTGCAATCCAGAGGAAGGAGACTTTGAATTTGGTCAAAAGATGTCAAAAGCCAACCGCACCCAAGGAGAATAATCTGAAGATCTTTTCCAGTCGAGAGGAGGGCATGTAGCCCCATATCTATATAGCTCCGAATGAAGGATCTTGGATACATTCACCAGTGAACATCGTGTGAAAATCCCACTGATCGAGTCGAAAGCTTGTGCAGTGGAACAGTTTCATGAAAAAGGTCTCTGAATTAACGTTTTCTTGGCCCATACAGTGAAGGAAGTGAGCAAGCATGGCCGAAATCCAAACCTTTTTCAGCGTAAGTGTGAATTTGCTGCGCACTGCCCAAGAAATTGTGACAGGAGGAAACTATTGAGATGAGCTCCTGAGGGTGTTCTCCTTCTCTGGGAGCACCCGATCTTTGAGCCAAAGGAGCTCCTCACGCTCCTCTGCCACAGCGGCACCCAAATTTGTGCCCGAGAGCATGGTACCTAAGCCGCGCAAATCCTCTCTGAGTCGAGCCGTTCTCCCCGAGAAATGATAATGCCGGATGAAGTTCAGATGCACTGACTATTGTAACAAGGTAACAAGGTTGAACCCCCCTGAATTGTCCTTCCCAAGTGGTAGTGTGAATCTATCGATGCCCCAATAGAGATGAGGAAGACTTCTCCAGTCTGAGCCTTTTCTTCACGCAACACGTTCTTAATTATTTACTATTAGCTATTATTTCCAATAGCAATAGGCATCCATTTCTTCCGGAGCTATGATAAGGCTGTGGGGTCTGGCTTCAGAAATCAATCCTGGTTCATGGATGGGGTCGCTATATAAATCGAGTTGAAGATTGTGATCGTGGATCCGGAGGTTGCTTTCGTTTGGACTGCAAACTGGGATAACTTAGTTGACCCATCCAAATGAATGGAAGGAACTAATTACCTGGCAGGTCAACCCACCAGAGTTTTACACCTCCAGCTTTTGACCCATGGGTATTGGCACCTGGAACGCCATAAGAAGACCTCCCCAGTTAGTTTGTTCATACCTTTGTACTGTAAAGGGCTATTTCCCACCCCGGGTACCGCTGCAGAGCAGGACCATTGGGGTAACCCGCGTTCAGACCTCGCGACCGTCGCAAGGACTCGCTGGACCATCGGTCCACCAGAAGGCGACCGCTTGGACCGTGGCGTGGTATCTGTCCCAAACGAAGAAACGACCATTCTCACCGTGGCGAAACGACCAGCGTTTCTCAGCATACTTCCGACCTGTTAAGCCCACAGTCGGTGGACTCGGGGAGCGAAACGGGTAGTCTTCGTGTCTGCCAAGCAGGATGCTTTTCCAAGTAAAGTCGGACAGGCACCATGTCTCAAAACAGGAACACACTCCCTCCCAGGCTCAGTATGGCAACAAAAGATTAATACATACTGTAATAGATCTTGCATGCTGACGCGGTCATGGTTACGTCCCCCACAAACTTGCTGCCTTCATCCCCTCAGCATCCCTCACCTATGCCTACGTGCATTCCAGTCTTTCTTCCCCCCCACCCGGTAGGTCCACCACCACGTCCACCTCCACGTCCACGTGGCGCAAGTTCTCCGGCCAGGCCATTGGTGTGGGTGGCTGCTTGGGCAGCGCCGAGGCATAGGCGTGCCTGAACGACATCCGAGCACGGCGTGCACGGCGCGCAGCGGTGGACCGGTGCACGTCTCGTTGGCCCTCCAAAAGCGATCGTTCAGGTAGAATTCAGTGGTCCAACACTCCTTTTTTGATCCGGAATGTGCAGGGTTCTGCGGAATGTGAAGACAAATCTGAAAGCATGTTGAAACACATCTACCAGTCTATCAGCTCCAACAGCTTGGACCTTCCGCAGCTTGGACCTTACAAGAGTCAAGAGGTCGCAAGAGGTCTTACTTACGTGTGGACCCAGTCCCACGAGGTGAGTCTTCCTGGTGCTCCCAGATCTGTGTCTCAATCCCTCCCAAAATGGCAGTGGTCAGGTGGAGAAACTGCTGCAAGAACAAATAACTATACAACATTGAGCTGCTGTGCCAACTCTATGGCACCGCTGCTGGATGGTTGAGCTGCTAATGTGCAAACTTTTGGACCGAAGCTTCCCTAGCCACAACATCACCGTGACCTGTCCTTTTCGCATGCCCCAGAAACTTCTAGCCAAGCCCTTCGCTACCAAAACAGATCAGATCAGCAATTCTAAAGGAATGCGTGTTATTCCCTCAATGAGTTTTCTTCATGGGCAATTCTGGGCCTCGTTCAGCACCACTTTGAGATAATTATAGAGTCCAACTATCAATCACCTCCGGTGTCCGAGTCACCTCGGGTGCTTCTCATCTAACCTGGCAGCCATCAAATCCAGCAGGAAGACCATCTTATCCTTGCCCTGCAGGCTGAGGCGATCAATCGCATCGGTGCCGCTGAGCACCAGGTGAAGCGCTGAAACGAACCGAGTGAGGTCATCTCTTGAAAAAGCATCGTCTTCCAGAGCCATGAGTTTTAACATGTTTTAACAATTTAGAGTAGGGTAAGTACTATTGTTGACTGTTCAATTTAGGATATGTTTCACACATCAAGAGTTCAGGCAGTTCACACATCAAGAGTCAACAGGGAAACACCACTTCCGTCCGCCTCTGGAAAGACCTCTGCAAAAGCCTGGCCATAGGCACTTTGCCGGGCAGAAGCAGCGCTCCAAACGCAGCTCTGTGGCACCTGCCATGGGCTCTCGGAGGGTGGACAGTGAAATGGTAAGTTATACTCTTAGGTTCATGGCAAATGAGCCCAAATTTGTGGTGTGAACCCAATGTCATGAATTTGGCCTCAATGGCCACAAATCTTACTGGCTAGTTGTTCGTTTGTTGCTCCAAACCGTCTGATAGTTTATGCACGTTCACTGATGTCAGAGCATGGAACCAATTAAGAGCAAACAACAGCAACTGAAGTGTGTTCAATTTGGCAACCTCAGGTTTGTTTGGAGAACGGTGGCTGAGTGGATGTGTTCGCCATCTGCTCGCTTCCACCCCCCTCCAAGATCACCTCCAGAATGAGGCTGAAGATAACACGACCCCAAGAGCTGCAAACAAACAAGGTTCTTTCAAGCGAACATTTTGGCCCTGCAGAAGATCACAGGTTGAAACGTTTGATGTATCTGTCTTTCCCCAAACATCTCTCCAGATCTCTCTCTCTCTCTCTCTCTACATCACCTTCACCTTTCTGGGGTTGGTTCCCGTAGCAGCCTAACATAACAGGTCAATCAAGGGGCGGCCACGTAGTGAGGTTCGACAGTCTTCTCGCCTGCGCCAACACCTCCCCCGTGCTGATGGCAGAAGCCGCGAAAACACCACGCTCCTCCCAGGCTAACCGGGATACAATGATTTCAAGAGTGCATCGCAAACAATCCATCGAAACAATGATCTATATGTGAAGGTTATTTACATACGAGTGCGTGTATGAGGATGCATGTTCACGATAAAATGGGTTGATTAAGCTCCGAGGATGAAGCTCCATGGAACAACTAGCTTGTATTGGTTTCAAGATCCGTTTAGTACCATAATATGTCATTCTAGGTACGTAGGAGTTGTAGCATCGTTCAAGTGTTTGTAAATGACTGGTCCGACTGGGATGTGGTAATGCATGCTCACGTCAGGGATACCATGACTGGTCTGAAGTATCATGATGACAGTGAACATGTAATGCACAAAATCTGTCAGGTTTTGTCAACTCAAGAACACAGAATTAGTACAGTTCCAACAGAACCATAATCTATCCCAAGGTGCTTGTTACTCAGTTACTTCCTGGCTACCACTGCAAAGAAAGAACTCAACTCAATTAGGACATCTTGAAAAGAGTATATCAATCTGAATAACTGCTGAGCTGACTTGGCTGAAGCTCATTACTCAGGCTTTATTTCTGATCTGAGCAAAACCTCGCAAAGGGCTGGTCCTACACAAAGAATCACAAAGAATTGAACCAACACGTGGGTCACGCTTAAAACTTGAATCTCCTGAACTGGCATGACCCATCGGTTTTGTACAGCTGGGTGCAAGAGTCTCAAGAGTAGCTGTGCCCTCAGGCAAGAATCCAACAGAAAAGCGCAAAGACTCCAGATAGAAAATAGCAAACGTTCAAACAACACCTGCAAAAACCTTCACAAGACTCCGAGAGAACACACTGCCCTCTGACTCACTCACATGGAAGTGGATGGCATGGTCCGGAAAAAAACGACTTTCCCCTACCAACCAAGGGGTGAACTCCACTTCCATGTGATGTCTTCGTCAGAGTGTCATTCCCAGTCCACCCGATGTTCCCGACCGCTCAAAGCGTCCGTCCCGTCCCGTCCTCCCGCGCGCGTCCTCGCGCGCGTGGGAGGAACCGTCCACGGCCGCCACGCGCAGGCGCGTGAGCTCGGCGCCCTGGCGCTCCAGGTGCTCACGCAAGGCCTGCACGGACCTCGAGCGAAGGGGAGTTGTCGAAGGAGGCCCGGCCCGGCCAGTCATCAACTGTACTCAAATGCCCCAACTGTTGCTGATGAGCCATGTGCTGGAGACTTCGGGAGATTTCATTGCTCACTGAGTTAGAAGTCTTCCCCCAGCCACCTGCAAAGGTCGTACAAATAAGCGGTCTGCATCTACGCTCCTGAAAAACACCAGAAGTTACAACATGTGCCGTTCATTTCGGGTCAAAGTGGCAACCAAACCTTCCAAAGGCAGTCACAAACCACTGAACTGGGGGTGTGGGACTAGCAGGGGAGAGGTCTAGAAAGTTTCCAATTGGCCTTCCACTCCATACAGGAAACTGCCAAAGTGGTGGACGGACATGTCTGTGTCTGCATAGTCATATTGCTAATACTTATTAACTTTGTTGGCACTGCAAAGGTCCGGATGCTGAGACGGAAGAAACGATAGAAGTGACCAGTTCGGTGGCTAGTGGAGGGCTCCCAGCGGGGTGTCCACTGGGTTCCCAAATCCCCCGACATGGAACATCCTGATCTCGGTTTTCTCTTAGAGTCGCCTTGGGTTTGGGCACACACGAAATCCACCAGCTGTGAGTAGAAGGACAGCTACACCCGATCTCATGCGCTCGTCACGAGCTGCGCTCGGTCCTGCCCCACGGCGACCGAGCTACTCTTCCTCCATGGCGACCAGACTCCGATCCACTGTGAGAAGCGATCAGACTGACCTGGCAACCTCTTTAGCTTTCTCTCTCTCTCTCTCTCTCTTCAGTTATTATGTATATATATATATCACCTACATTAGGGCTATATACATCTATATTCCAAATATAAACAAAAAAACAACAACTTATATTGGCTACCGGATGCGAACTCTTATGCCACGCCCTTTCTCGACCGAAACCGGTGGTGCAACCCCGGTGGTGCAACTGGTGCCACGCGCGGACTGGGTCGCTGGGATCGTGCTGGTGAGAAAGCTGCATGGGACCCAAGCTACCAGCACCTGTGCATCTCCCACCAGTTGGGAGTTGATTTCATACTCTCTCTCTCTCTCTCTCTCTTGGTGTTCATCAATCTATGATTTCATGCTAGTGCACGGCAGGTTTGGTGTTCCACTGGCATTTAATCCAAATGTATCCCTCTCGTGATCGACGTGATATCGCCGACATGGATCTTTCGTGAAACCTTTAACAATGCTGAAATGATCTTCCGACTCAGGCATGTGACCAAAGCTCACATGTGCAAACCCTTTGTGAAACACGGTCGCAGCTAGGGGTTTTCTTCGGCCGTGGCCAGGCTGGTGCTTTTGGAGCGGCGGAGAACGGGCAACGATCCAATAAACACCTCCACCACTGCCAGAGCTGAGAAAAAAAACCGATAGACGAGTAGATAGTAGATGGCACCCCAAAAAACATCCTTTTTCATATGGGGAGTTAATATGATTCACACTCTTCACCGATGGAGATTGCGCCGTCCGGTGAATGGCCGGTAACTGGTTCGAACGCGGTCTCACGGACCCGTCCTTCCGTTCACCCGTCCGGTACCGGTGAGGAAGGAGACAGCATGTGGAGGGGATCCAGTCGTACCGAACCTGAGGTACGGTGGCAGTGGATTTGGTTGAGAAGGCAGGGGTGCAACAAGGGGTTGCCATAGCTGGTGGTTTGCACAAACATTGATCCCCCCGTTCAGAATGCAGATTGGCGCGGCATTGGCCTGGTGTCATACATATATATGGACCCATGTCGCGCAACGCCAGGAAATCAATTTCCAGTGAATCGCCTCTGGCAGATCAGTTACTTGGGAGCATCTGATGTCAGAACAAATTGAAGCCAAACTCACCGGGATAGCCATTCTACAACTAAACCACAAAACATGTGCGGATGATGTTCTATGTTATTGCTCATCCTCAATATTATGTCAAATCCCCGTTTACTGTCGGATTCTAGCCCAAATGGTGGGTGTCAATGGATCTGACCAACTTCTAACATCTTCTAACCCCCCTTGATTCCATCATGGTCATCATCCTAGGCACAACGTTTAGAACAAACAAAAATGACAAACCCCATAGTCTCTCATGGTCATAATCCGTCATACCTCCCTCCTCACCGGCCCAAAAGCAACAACCCCAAATACGCAGCTCTCACCACGCACCTGGACTTGCAGCCGCAGCACCAGGTCCAGCACGCCACCTGCTGCCACGGGTTTTTCATCGTCGCTTTGCGTCAAATTCATCAAACAAATAGGACCAAGGCTGGCAAGGGTGGCACGGCCTCAAAAGGAACACGCCCACAAAACTGACCTTCAAATGTTTCTACTCTATCCTGTTCCGCCTGTTCTATCCTGTTCTGACATCTATGGACCTCCAAGCAAACTCCCGCGTCCATCGACCTGCCATCCTCGCCCCGACTGGCTTTTTGCTGGAGGCCTGGCCACCGGTGCCCTCTCGCGGATGGTCGGGTCCTGGCAGGGCCGGGCAAAATGAAGACTTCAGTCAAGCAGAGTTTCAGGCCACGAAGGAGCATTACCAATCGACTACAGACACTTTTTATACCTGGATCTTCCAACTGTGTGACACATTGATGCCTTTGGGGCACTCACAGGGAGTCATCACCTGTGGCACGTTCCACCCTTCCGTTTGGAGGACCAGCTTTACATCACCTCAAACCGCCAGAGGCACACGAGGCATGACTGGTCCATTGGGTGAAGAAAGCCTCTGGAGCCCCTCTCACCAGTCTGCGCCCAAAGGCAGGAGACACGCGGTTTTTACATCTCCCATCCAAGCTGTCGTGGACGCTCAAGGAGGGTGAAAAAACATCTCTCTTGGCAGCGCTCGTGGTCGCAGCGTCGATGATGACTTCTGGCCCAAAGGAGGCATCCCCTCAAAACGGACACAACAAGGTATATATCCCCCAAAAATTACATCAAGATTCATCAAAAAATCATGCTAAATCCTTTTGAATTATTAAACCTCCGTTGAACAGAAAATTGCTGCCGTGCATCGGCCCGGAGATCTGTCTTTCACACCCGCTGGGCTCCTGTGCTGGCCGCTGTGGAGCTGCTTCGATCGCCTTCACCTGCAGCATCGCTTCCAACAAGCAAGAGGAGGCTGATGAGGGCTGTCCATCTACGACCCCCATTTGTGTGCCCAAAAGTGTTCAATTGATTGTCCATCATGAAAGCAACCCGTCCTGGAAAGCAAGCATGTTTCTTGTTTCATCGGGCTCAGAAACTCGACTGTTACATGATGTTGTTGTAATGTAGACTCTTGATTAATAAACTGCCCCCAGTTGAATTGGAAATCCCTCTTCATATTGGGGGGTTGATTCATCAAGAGTCTACATTAGGAAAACTCAATATTGAACACTTTGCTGATTGGATCTTCAGCCTTTTGACCACCACGACAAATACTATATTCCTATGGTCTGGAGTGCGTTGCGGTTCCGCTTCCTCGAAGGTTGGCCGTCGAAAGATGGGTTCTGTGGGCCGTCTCTCCGTGTTTCACGGGAAGGACACGGCTCTGTGCTGACACTTTGGAGCTCCGAAAGGTTCCAACGGAATTTGTAACATATACGTCGAAGATCGTCGAAGACTCTTCTTGACTCAAATATCTAAGCAAATCCATCTCAAATACATTCATACAGTACCTAGCAAGCAGCCAGCCTGGCCAGCACCAGCCACCAGTCTCACCAAAATCGAGGGTCACACGGCGTAGAATCGTTTGCAGCACCGACGAGGTGAGAGAACTTTTTCGGTGAAGTTGGGCGTCAGCGTTGATACCACGGGGACACCAGGGTCATTTCAGTAATTTACTTCGCCTGGTGTCAATCCTGGTAGTCTCTTGGTGATATTTCAAAACCTCGATATCCGCCGACCCCTGCCTAGCGGGGCGGCGCCTGGGACACCGCAGGGTGAAACGATGGCTCAACTTGCTTTCGGCCAGTTGCTCAGGCCCAACCTCGATCTCATGCTTGATCTTTTCCTGTGATGTAGTGTCGACAGCTTGGTTGTTGAGCTTGGTGGGACATGGGCTTTAGTACAGGTTTGATGAGGTTCTGCGCCACTCCGCACCGGAGTTGCCATTGCTCTATGCGCAACTCTAGGACCACCAAGAGCAGCACTAACATCAGGTTTGTATGCCGGTGGGGCATCACACTTCTTCCTGTTCGGACCGGCCATAACACAGTCCTGCTCTCGTAAGTCTGTCGCCTCTTGAGCTGTCTTCAAGCACTTTCTGCAGTGGAAGCCACTGCAATGCTTGACTATGTACTGTTCCCATGGCTGGAGGTTTGCTTCAGCATCCAGAACAGCAGGGTCTTCTGGAGAAGTTTCTGCTGGGTCTTCCCTCTGGCCTTGCACGTGCAAAGCCATGGAGCCCCAAAATAACACCCATGTATGTGGACACGTATTTCATCCATGGAAATATGTAACCCATGGCCCGGAGTGACATGTACGTATACATACCGAGAAAAGGTTTCCAAATGCACACGTGCTTTGACAAGACGCCAGGTTCTGCCGAAGCGGAAAGTGGAGTGGTCAAAGGACCGCGGGCATCTTCCATGGGATCGGGGTCCTCACAGTGTTGGATGACAAGCTACGGGGTCCAAGAGTTTTGCAGTCTGGATTTTTTGATCAAGTGTTTGAGGGAAGGCATGAGTTCCCCATTTGAGTCCTCATCAACTTCAACCTCAGGGTCTTCCTCAGGGGCTTCACTTTCAGCTTCTTCACCACCTGGATGGCCATCTTCCACAGGTTCAGATTCACCACCTGGATGGCTATCTTCCACAGGTTCAGGTTCGTCGTCAAGCTCCGGGTCCGTAGAAGCCAAAGAACTACCTGAGCCACAAACTTGGCCCCTGATTTCCTGACCTGGTTGTTTTTAGAGTAAAGTACATAATTCAGCAATAGTGTTGGATATTGAAAGACAAGGCACGAGATGGGGGAGCATCTAGTACTGGTACGAATTTCCCGCTCACGCGGGCGATGCCCTCTGCTTGCAGCACGGCTGAAGCAATAGACCAGGCTACGAACCAGCCAAGCTTCTGTCTTGATGAGTTCTCCTGGGCCAGGAGGTGATGGTTGTGCTACCACCTCCTATGCGGTTCCGAACCTGCTGGAGCCTTGCGTGGACATCCCGCCTCAATCCGAGCCTGATGCTGGCCTATAGACACCCTTTCTACCACCTGGACTGCTGCACGCCTGCGTATAGGCAGGGTGAAACGGTGGCTCAACTTGCTACCTGCTGGGGCCTTGCGTGGACATCCCGCCTCAGTCCGTGCCTGGTGCTGGCCTATAGGACACCCTTTCTATACTCACCTGGGCTGCTGCACGCCTGCACCCGGCG